CGATAAATGGTGAAACACTGGTTAAGGCACAATTTGTTTTCCGGCACTCAAAAGAGACGCTGACTATGCATTTCTGGTGAAGGACTTCAGCAGTCAAACCAGCGAGTTAATGAAGTTTCCACTACCACTTTAAATTGAAGCAAGCTAAATGTAAACCTATGCGTGAACCGGTTGCTGGTTGTATGCATTTTTCAGCTGCTGTAAATCCAAACACATCTCTCATCACCAAATCATAAAACGTTTGCGTAAGTAAGAACACTACCTCTCCTAATCAGCTCAATGAAAACAAATTTGATGAAGTACGGCTCCTTCATCTTGTTGCTACTCACGCACCAATCTGGCTCGTCGACTCTGCCACATGTGAAGTGCTTCAACGACTCAAGTGATAGCAAAATAGATTTTGTGACGATTACAGAAATGCAAAATCAGTGAGGGTCATGTAGATGCGCAAATGCTTCTCGCACCTTATGCCTAGACTCACAGATAAAGGAGGACCCTACAGACAGCAAAATCTTGGCGTCTAATGAAATGCTTAACTAGAAAGTATAGAAAGGCGTATCTTAAGAGTTCAAAGCATGCTTATGTCGTGAGCAATTTAAAAATTAATTTGGACTCCTGTTGTAAAACTCCAGTAGAGTGGTGAAATAGATGGATCTTGAATTATGCTCCTCATTAAAAATGAGCAACAATTGAACGCGACAGTAGAACTTAAGTGCAAACACGTTGGGATTCTAAGGTAGTTAGAATGTCGAATGAATGAGATCTTAGCATAGTGCGCGGCTGTGAAGCAGAAATCCAAAGTTTCTGTCCGATTTGCCGTTGTTTATGGCAGTCAGAAGTCTACTTTACTCTAAAAAATTTCCACATACACCTGTGTATCACACGATAATTAGTATTGCTAAGATCTGGGTGGCGTGATGATCCACCCACAAAAGTGACCTCATAAAAGGAATTTCATCAGTAATTTCATTTGAAACTTGTGAACACACTCACTTTAAGCTGTTCCAAGTTGCTGTCGACGTCATCAAGCATCAGATCGGACCGCGACCCACTAAAGGGTGATCCAGCATTTTCATTATACGAAGGAATGGAAGTTCTGGTGCTAAAAAATGTTTGCTTATATAATTAAAAATGGCTTCAGAAAAAGGTGATTTGCTTACAACTACTTAAGCAGTTAGTGCAAAATGGAAGTGTAGGTTATGGGGAGAATAAGAATACATGAGTGGCAAAATACTGCCTTTAATGCTAAAATTATTGGGTAAGAGCAGTTTTGATCGGTCACTAAAGTCTTTTAGCAGAGAGTGTAAGAACATCTAACAGGCCACAAAGTGAAGCAAGCAAAGTTTCAGCAGCAGCATAACACCTCACCTCGAGCTCTTGGGTGTACCTCGGCGAAACGAAGGTCGCCGAAAATCTGATATTCTTAAGCCATAAATAAGAAATTGTGCTCCATATACTACAGTCGAGTCGTATAATCGAACTCAATTGGTGTAACTCGTATTAAATAGCTTTGTTGACTAGTAGCTAGCTACCTAATAAAGTTGGGATGATGCAAATAATGGAGCAGCCTGGGTGTGCGAAATGCCATTGATAGGCAAGTAATATAGTACTTACAGAAGTGTGGATGGTCGAGACGGCGTCAAATCACCAACGTTAGGTTCTAGAAAACCACTGTCTTCTGTCTATAAAGCAAACAAAGTGTCTCACTTTTATGCTTGTTTACCTAATCACTGAAGCATGCAAATTTACGCGTAATAGGGGAGGTAATAGAGAAGAGTCCACATACCAAAATATTATCACAAAAGACCGTACTTGCATTAAATATGGCAAACATGCAGAAAGTGGACCAAAATGGTATAAAACTTCATGAAGAATGGATGCATAATATTACCTTTAGATCTGGATCGATTTCAGACTGTTGCATTACAAAGTCGTCAGGTGTAATAGATACTCGCCGTCCATGAAGATTCAGTGTCATAGTTTTACCTTTTAACTCTTCTCGATCTACACTTGGATAGCAGTTAGATCAGCGCAACATACTTCGACAATTGAAAAAATTCTGAAACGCCGATTCAAAGTCCTCATAAGATATTATTCCATCCTTTTCGGGATCCAATGCATTTACAATATTATCCACATCCTAGAACTATAAATAATCTGACAGCACAAACCATTGATTGCATTCGAGCTAGCTTGGATTGGTGTTCAACATTGGTACTTTCCTTGGCTATTGATGTATAAAACTTTTCAAGTGCACTAGTAAACTGTTCAACTGTGATAAAACCCCTATTGGTGTTGTCCAAGGCATCAAAAACTTGACGCAAAGTTGCAGAGTCAATATTCATCTTCAGTAATACAGACAGGAGAGGCAAGACACTTTCAAATATGTGGGGCGTCTTGACCTTACATTCGATGCAATAGAACAACATCGCATCTAAAAACATTAAGTAGACCTTACTTTGTTACAACAGTCTGTTATTAATAACAACATTGTAAAAGTGTTTTTGTTTTGTTTGCGATGTAAAAGTTTTACGAGCGTGAATTAGCAAAAATTTTTGTAGTGTTTGCCATCTTCCACGCGGTCGTAGCATTTTATACGAGCAAAGATAAAAATTTCAAATGCTTTGTTGAATGCGACTACCTAGTATTCGATGATTACTTTGATTCTGGTCTAGTTCCTGTATGCATAGGTTGGTCTCCAGATCAGGCTAAGGTTTCATTCTTTCCCTTCCCTGGAATATATATTTTTTATTCCGATTTGGTGCTTTCTTTTTTCTAATTTGAAGGTTTCTGGACACTACAAATGCTTTTAAAAATTTGTTTATGATATTATAGCAACCTGGCTGCCCTACTGAGCATTCTGGACTCTTAATGGCATCAATTTCTTTTCCGAAACTAGATCGAGCATGGAAATGCAAGACTTAGCGAGGAAAGGCATAAGTAGCATCTCGAGACTTCCCATAAGGTGGAAGAAGGCAGTAAGTGAATCTGAATACATGTTTTCCAAGGAGGACACGGCAACTAAGCCTAAGCATGATCCAAAGGCCAGCCCACGAGTACGAGAGCTAGACAAATCCCAGAGTGATCACCAAACGCCAAGTAGTCATGTAATATACATTGACCATGCCTGAAAAAAAGATTGCTGCCCACAGCTCCTCGCTGAGTTAAATACCCATGTATACAAGGGCAGAACCGTATAAGCAAAGCCAGGCATACATTTGCTCTCACAAATAGGAACTACAATGTATATATACGGCCCCGAGACTTCCCCCAGGTTGATAAGGCATCACAGTGGACCGAATGCATGTCTTCTGAAAGAAGTGGTATAGTTTTGGAGCAATTGTAAGGCCAACTCACGCGTACGAGAACAAAACGAATGCCATAGTAATTACCAGACAACAGGTGGTAACACAAACAGGGTTTTACGACAAGCAGTTGCATTTGTTCTTTAGTCTGCTTAACTTTGATGCTTTGAACGTATGATTACTACTCGACCATATTCCCTTACCTCTCGCTCACACAAATACTAAAGTTTTCTTGCAATTTTTTCGCTCCCTAATGTTACGAAACTTCGATGCCTTATTTTACGTGGGAGACCGGTAGTAATCCTTGCCATTATTTCTTAATTCAATAAGTCTACACACCTTTGAATGGGCACACTTAGACGTAATTCATTTGGTGTGCTGCTTAGCGCCCTCCTGGATCAACACGCACACCCACCCTTCTCTTACAGGACTAAAAATGCTACGACTATTGAGTGACACCCACCTACGATGACCAGTCATCAGTTGTTAGTAGTAGGTTAACGTACCCGCCCACTCGAATGCACTTCATTATCAGGAAGTGTTCTGACATGAGTAAAAATGCGAATTCTACCACTAGGCTGCGGTTGACGTGTCTCTGTTCATCGCTCAAAAATTGATAAGCATTTTTTTTTGAGCATAATGTAATACACTCTGCCAAATGGCGACCAGGATGCAAGCATGAAGA